AATGCCATTTTGACCGGAAAACCTCGTTATCAGAAAAAGGGAGGCATATTTTTTGGACATGCGATATGCGATACTTGTCTGGCAAGTGTCCATGTAACTTTGGCTCCAAAATTCAAGAATAACTTCGGTTTATCTCAATCATGCATTAATTTCCAGAAAATCTTTTCCTAGGAAAATTCATTTTTAAATAATCCCAATTCGCCTGGAAAATGGCAGAGACAGGGACAAACGGAAGTCATACTTGGACCCAGGGCTAAATATTACATGAGAATTCGCTATATTAAAGCATTAACTTTTTTTTCGGTGCATACTTGTGTAATCTTTCATATTCAGCAGCGGACCAGTTTTGCGTCATTTTCAAACTTCCTGCGCGAGAAAGTATATCCTGAATTAAGGAGTTCTTTGGAACAAGGGCGTGTGTTCAAAAAAGTAGTTCCGCGGAAGTCGCATTTGAAAGTCCAGAAGTGTATAGCGCTAATTCTAGCCCATATCTTTGCACGAAATTTAATTAGTTTGAAAGAACACGTCTTCGAGAGTGTACTTGCAAAAACGGAACATTGTGACTACATTTCTCTATGATCCCTACAAGATAACGTGGATCGTTGTGTAAAAAAAAAGGGGGGGGGTAGGGCTTTTTAGTACACTATGTATATTTCCTGAAACTAGGAAGAATCCAATTTCAGAAAACGCGTTCTCCCGAAAAAGGGCGGATACGCGCATACGCCTTTGTCTCGAAGAACTCCATGTAACCTTCCGGCGCGGCGTCTAGGAGAGAAAATCAGTTGCACCTCATGAAATTTTAGCTCTATTTTCGAGTGACCGCGGTGTTGCACTGTCTATCATAGTTTGCATCTATAGATGCTTGTCTGAGAGATATTTTCTTGAAAAAGTAGCAGATTTGTCAATTGTTCATGTGCCTCCGTTTTCCTCGTTGGCATGAGATGAGATAGGTCCAATCAGCACCCGATATCTTTGAAACGCGCCACGCCGCGCTGCGCCTCGTCGCACAGTTTACATTTGATTTGGAGCGGCCTATGCGCAAAACTAAATTCGTCGATAGTACAAAGAGGATCCGCGACAGGACAGCCGATCGCGTTATTGCGCCGAACGTGCCAACCGGGTGGCGCTCTCAAGCGGTATTTCCGATGACTACAGGTCACGAAATTTCATCAGAAGTCGAGGATACGTCAAGGAACGCCAAAAAAAAAGTTTAAGAGCCACCCTGATCTTGCCTATCGGTGTAAATTAAATTCTCAGTGGATGCCGCGAACTTTACAATTTTCTCCTCAAAAGCGAAGTTCAGTATGACAGAGTTTGGAGATCATGGTTGCCACAGGGAAATGTCAGGGAAAATTTGTTGAATCACCTTTACTTGCTTTCTGGAATGGGTTTGAGGTTTCGAATCACACATTTTGCCTGAAAACTATTTTCAATTATGCCCTCGTCACATCTTCAATTTTCAAGGAATTCCACCAAAATGTGCTAGGGAAATGTCAGAGATTTTCATTTTCTAATTTCTGTGGCAACCCTGGGAGATGTCATCATCAGTTATTTGTATTCATCGAGTGAGGGCAATCAGAGCTTTTGAAGTTTGAAGTGTTCCCTGTGTTTTTTAATAGATGGCGGAACCTCGCGCTGAGATAATCTCAAGTGGACACTTCAAACGTTAGAAACATGATGATACTGATCGTAAAGATATTTTGGAAGCTGAAACTGAATGAATTTAGTATTCATCGATCACCGAGCCCGTAAACATGTTAGGTTTGAGCAGTTATTATTAAAACGACTTGTTAACGAAAATTGTGAAGAACCGCTTTGCAAAATTCTGGCTGTTCCTTCGGACTCTTACTTGCGTGAAAGGTTAGACTTGAGTTTTACTTCCCATACATATCTTACCTGCCTATCATTTTAAGGGAGAGCAAAGTTAGGCCTCATCCCTCTTGCAAAACACGAAGGATCTTTTCACCTTGGGTTATTGCATTTACATTTCTTTGTATCTAGAAACGGATGCGTTACGCGGTGTTAGCTATTTAAATCCGTAATCATGCAATAATGGGATGTCTCAATCCTTCTGTGGTTATTTTATTATTATTTGTTGGTACTCGTCTGGAATAAACTGAAACTTCTGTTTATATACGCACGTTCTTGCTTTTAATTAACTGGGTAAATGCACAATTTGGATCTCAAGTTATTCATCTGTACCGATCACCGTGAAACAAACTTGATGAAGCAACGTATTACAGCAAAAAGTACTTTAACGATGTATGTTAGTTGAAAATTCGCCTAAATTTGCACAATAATCCGCACTACTTGTAAAAAGTTGAATTGCGCAATTGAAGTCTGCAATTGCTCATGTGGTTTTCTGCTTTACGCGGTCGAATCTTGGCCTGGCGCTTTATTAGAATTGAATCGGGTATATACACATGCTGGCAAGCATGTATCGATTTTCTGATGGATATGAAGAGTATAAATCTTCCTTAGAACTTTCAAAGAGCGCTGGCATACTCAGGTCTCAGACGGTCAGTCGAAAAAATTCCGGAGTCATCCCTCCCCAGGCTCGCTCTGTAGCATTAATGGAGCTGCACACATGCCGAAAAACATATGGATTACATTTTGCAAAAAGAAACCAAGAGCATGCCAGTGTCGCTAATGTTATGCAACTTCCTTTATCATACAAATATAAACTGAGCATCTAAACAAGTTCTATCTTTACTCTGAATAAACAAAAAATCCAAGACGAAAATTACCTTCATAGATCTGATCATTTCCATTATCTTAGTAACTTTATCGCAAAGAATGTAAGTTGCTTAATCTTAGCAAGATTGGAGTGATCTTAGTTCCTTTTTGCATAATGCAATCCATGTGTCGGTTCTCTGGGAGTGTCTTGATATCAAGGGGAAAAAATCCTGGTCCCACAGGACCTTCAAATATTGATGACGTACTCAAGTCTCCTATGAATGTCATCCCTTCAAGATCAGTCATCCCTTCAAGATCAACTCCTCTTTCTCTTTCTCCATTTGTATGAATTTTATCTGGTGAATCACGAGTTGTTTTTCGTGTAATTTTCAGACTCACGATCACTATTGCAACCCTAAAAGGTTTCAGATAAGATGGCGAACTTTTTAGTGACTCTAATGTCCTGTCTCCTCACGATGGTCTCCGCCCACAAAATATTGATTTTCCAGCCGACTCCATCGATTAGTCATCAGCAACCAGCGATGGGTTTAACAGAAGCTCTAGTGAAGAAAGGCCACGACGTTTATGTCCTAAGCCCAAATGTTGTCCCGGTAAAATGCCTCTGATTACTCTGAATGTGTTGAAATGATATTCTCGTTGCCAACGTGCGTTAAATGTCTTTGAAAAATTCGTCGTCTTGGACATGACGTAACTCAATTCTTATGTCGTCAAATTTTCTCAAACAATTAATTTATTTGACAAATTTCACCGGAGTAATTTTCATCAAAAGTTTTTCTGATTTTTTCGTGTGATCTTATCGGTGACATATTTACTCAGGAATGCCAATGACTCTTCTAGTTAATATACAATAGACCATTAGACAAGGTACGAATTTAAGCATTCCACTACATTTTTATTATCCAGAATTTCACGTAAAACACGGTTCGCGCAACGAAAATTACTGAAATAAACTTCTAACGAAGATATTAACGTTTTAATTTCACATCGGTCACGAGGAATTTGAACTGCCCGCTCACAAGAAACTCAAAGCTCTAGGTACTTGAGTCCAACTGCGCACTACAACGGTTTCAGCAAGCTTCTCAATCGAGCAGTGTTTATTTCCCACCATCTGTGGTTCAAACCATAAGCAATTTGTTATAGCTAAGCCAAAGCGTCAGGATTGAGGTTTTCAGATTTTTATATTGCAGAGACTGTCATGATAAACGTTTAGCGCGCGATGTGAATCACGTAGAGAATTGAGTCTTCATGAGCGGGTGGTTTGAATTCACGCATCAAGAATCATTAAATATCTTCGTAAGGAGTTGATTTCGGTAATTTTCGCTGTGCGTATTGTGTTCTACGTGTAATTTCGGTTAAGAAACATGTATCAGAATGCTGAAATGTGTACCTTGTCTAGTAGTTTATTCTTATTTGTCGTTAGATTTTCTCCGACTAATTTCACCGGTGTAATTTTTATCAAAAGTTTTTCTGATTTTCTTGTGTAATCTGAAGAAATATCGGTGAAATTTGTATTCAGGAATGCCGAAGACTCTTCTGGTTAATATACAATTAGCGAGGGGAAACTTGGCAACATTGAAATTAAATACGTTCTTTCGCGAGCTAAACGACGAATAGTTCGCGCGAATCAACAGCCGTAGGATAGCGAGAAGCGAAGATATTGACTGCTTCCAGGAGGTGTCGCGTATGTGAGATACACCCCCTGGTATAAATTGGCAGTAGAATCTGTGTTCCAAAATACCATAGACCTACGGCCGGCTGTAAGATTTCCGATAGCTTCCATAGCCGGCTACACCTTTTCTCAGAGAGTACTTTAACATTCTCAAACACATGGAACTTAAAGGCACACTGGAACTAAGTGCTATACAATTGCTGCCCTTATAAGGCATACTTAGTACAATTACAATTTTTCGTTGAGCGACTCCCTACAGTTAACAAAGGATTTGAGAATATAAGGCATGAAGCGGACGGACAAACAAGGTCAGTCGCTTTTCTAGGAATTGACATTAAAATATTCACACGAAGTGGGAACATAACAATATACAAATTGAGAATGACAAGAATACAAAGGAATGCATAGAATATCGTGACAAGAATGTCTAGTTTCTGAGGAATGAGGATTTGGCTGTACGCTTGGTTCTGGTGACAGGCTTTGGACCTTGGTTGCTTTGCGCTTGTGGGCAACCTTGCTTTTTGCGCCTCCAGGAGAGCCGCTTGGTGGTTGGTCGTCGTCCATGTCATCGCCATCACTCGATTCCTTGTCGTCAGCGAGGGGCTCTTTTCGGTCCCCCCCTAGAGAAAATCCTTTTTTATCTTTTCGATTGTTTCGGCTGTTGCCACGGTGCTCTCGTTTAACACCTTCTTCAAGGCTTCTCCGGCTCCAGCAGCTGCAGAGGCCTTAAATTGGATTAACGTGTTGTTCCACTGGGGGTCGTAGTCAGGGTAAGACTCGACCTCGGCGGGTGTCAAATGTGGCGACTGTGCGAGAGTGCTTTTGGGCATCATAGCCAATATGAACGTTCCAATCCGCCCTAACATACCTCAGCAGCGGCTCAGCAACCGAGCCTATCCATATCCTCTGCTGTCCCGTCCGTCCGTCCTATGTTCTCCTGTCCATATTGCGTTGACATACAAATTAAAACGAATATAAGAGATGAAGATGAAGAGAAACGCAAAAGAAGAAAATAATAAACAAACACAGAAGAAGAAGGCATATTCAAATTTAAATTCCTGTATCTCTAAACCTTCTACACTAACGAGCAGAGCAGAGAGTACTTTAACATTCTCAAACACATGGAAGCTTGCACTCACACTGCAACAATTTCATTTGCCCAGGAATGGTTATTCAAGAAGAATAAAAAATCATCACCTGTGATCGCTTACCCAAATCAAATGATCAGAGTATAATTTAATTGAATGCTGCACCCTTTTGAGCGACTCTTCTTCTACTCTAGAGCATAAACATTTGTAGTCTAATGTGAAAATCGATCATCAACTTCAAACAATCTCTTGGTGAACTTGAGACAACTTGAGACTGAGGTTGAGACAACAACTTGGCTGAAAATCCCATTCAGTGATCTCCTTGACCTCCGTGGGCTAAAAATTCCATGCAGTGATCTATTTGATCTCCGTGGGCTAATAATTTCACACAGAGATAGTTCTGATCTCTGTGAAACTAAATCAGTTCTGAAACAATAATGGACTGTTCAACTGCAGGGGACGCCCGTAAGACAGTGACATTTCAACTGCAAGGGACGCCTGTAAGACAGTGGCATTGTATGCATGTAGCAGCAGTATTTATTAGTCTTCCACAGTCTCTCAGCTCCAAATTTAATCTCTAAATGTCTTTACTTTTTCTCACAACGAATTTCTCAAGTCTTTCATCTCTATCCAAGAGGATTATCAAAAGTATAAATACATCATACATTTTGGATGATTTCTTTCCGCACCAAAAAGAAAATCCCAAATTTTTGGAAGTTCGATTTCCAATTAGAGCGCTTTTAAATCGGTTTTTATGTATGCCTTAATAATTTACTGAGGAATTATAAATTTTGCACTATTTTCACCATGTGTTAATATAGTTCATAATAAGTAATCCGCAACGATGATAAATTAGGATTAGTTAAATCCACATATGTTAAATTTTCTTGATTCTCCATTATGCTCGATCTTAAAACTCATGCTCACAATTAGTCTCTGATCATAATCTCATTAACCCTCTGCTCGCTTATGTCATACTTTTTCTTCTCATTCAGATTTATACTCTTTTTTCGCATTTAAGTTATTTCCTCTTACTCAAAATGCTTTTTTCTTTTTCTCACTCAGGTTGTAAATTGGAGTCAAGCTTTCTTTGTGAGACGACTGTCTTTCGACGTTGTTGCTTACACCTGCTTCGTTAGGTCTTCATTGCTTAAATAGGCTTAATATTCGCTTAGATAGGCTTAGATGTGATTTTGTAGCAAATGTTGCAACTTACTTGGCAACAATGCCAACCTAAATTAACGTTATACACACGTTGAACATAGTTCAATAATACTTAACTCGTACGATGATTTGACTATAAAGCATATACAACTGAAATAATTTTAATAGTAGTTTTTCATACCATTTTCGGAAAGGTTAAGGTATAATATCATCAATTTTCAGGAGTTTCTGAACGAGTTCATACTATGTCATAATTCCCTTCGGTGGTCTTTCGGTTGAGCTTCTTTCGGTCCTTTTAAATGCACGTTTAAGATGATAAAATTTCGCGATTGTCGAAAAATGGCTTGGCTTGAAAAGCCTCTGGAGTTTTTAATTTGGTTTTTTGATTGTTGTTAGAAGCATAATTCTTTATATATTTGTCAGGTTCTTGTCTCTTCTCTTCCATTAGTATCTTTAGACTTTTATCATTGTTTCGTAGAATCTTGTTTCAAATTCACTCAACTCAATTGGATTTACGTGTGGTTCGAACATTTAAAGTTCAAAATTTGCTTGGGAAAATTGGGTAAATTTCTGCTTTGCTTCCTCCTAACGAATGTTCAAGTTCGTCATGTATCGTTTCTTGTGCTACGAAGTTCTCAAGGCCTGACAGCTGATAGTTAAGATGAAGTTTTGTTGCCAAAAGGCTGGCTTTTTTCGCTTTTTGCATTGTTAGGCCGAATTACTGCCTGATATTGCCAAATTGAATCGTAGAAATCGGTCGATTACTGCACGATGTTTAATAACTTAAGTATGTGGAGATCAATCGATCATTGCACATACTTGGTATCGACACGGAGATCGAGCGATCACTACCACGAGATGATAATTATCTTTTCATTCCGGCCGCATATTCCACTTTTGTGAAAATTTTTAATTTTCGTTGACGTCTTCCAAATTGCACAGATGAAGATCACGTCGGGGTCCCCATGTTTTTCTTAGTTTTTAATAAGATAAATATATAATTACGTAGTAATTATAGCCGATGGCGATTAAGCAACTCACAGCCAGGCGATAAAGTGTATGCTAATCGACTCTAATTACGGATGCCAGGACTTGGTGAGTTTTTGGGCCACTGCTCTCTTTTTGGGCCGTAGTATCTTGATTTATTTTGCGAGGAAAGCTCCGTACTTTTGATGGGTGCCTGCCATTCCTAATACATTAGAGCGCCCTCAGTTTCGTATGATACTGTGCAATACCTCTGGTGTGAAAGAGTTGCTTCAAGCGCCGTGGCACGCTGCGGTACGGCAGGCGGGCAGCCAGCGCGGAACACGCATTGGCGCCTACAAACCTAACAGGGATACTTCACGCGTTGCGCAATGCGTGAAGTATCCCTGTTAGGTTTGTAGGCGCCAGAGCGTCGCCGCTCCGCTTTGTGTTAGTTTCTAATTTTTAATCTGGGGGAGTCAGCGTTATTCAACTCATGATTTTGAAATGTTTGCACATCCTGTATGGATTACTCTCGTTTTAATTGATGAAAAAAAATATGTATTAAAGGAAAATAAAACGTGTGTTTTGTAAATATTAAGGTGGTTCCGTATGAAACTTAATGATTTCCAAAGCATACGAATTTCTACACAATTTCTTATAGCCTTTTATAATCGATGGCGAAAAAGCAACAGCCAGGCGATAA